CACCTGTAGACGGTTCAGGGAGGTTCTGCTCAGACACGTGAAAAGAGAGTTAGAGTAGTCTAAGCGTGAGGAGATGAAGGTGTGGAGAACTGTCTCAAGTTCAGAGCGGGACAGAATGGGACTCAGCAATGTTCCTGAGATGGAAGAAGGAAGAGCGAACAAGAGAACTGACATGAGAATCCAGGGTGAGAGCTGGGTCAAAGGTCACGCCAAGATTCCTGACGGAAGGTTTGGTGCGAGAAGCAAGCTGACCAAGAGAGGGAGACACCATAGAGTTTTCTGCGTGTATTTTCCCTCGTCCACGTGCTCGGAGATTTCCATGTTCCTGAGAAGTGTGTGGGAACAAAACCCACCAGTGTGGGACCCAGACCGGACCGGGCCAGATGTGGAAGGGGCATAATGAAGGGGTGTCCAATCCTGGTCCCGAAGGGCTAGTTTAGGTACCTAATCTGCTCTGGATGCCAGATCGGCTTGGGGTCCTGCGCGTGTCCATGATGTCATACTATGGCATATCCACCTGACCGAAATATATTGATTCTCTTTATCAATATTTTTCCATATGTAGGTTTTAGAAAGAGTTTAGCAGTTTTGTTAATTGTTTCTTACCACCTTAATGTTTTTTTATAACTGTAATTTGTTAACAAAACCATGACGATATGGTGTTTTATTAAGAATGTGAAACCACATTAAACCAACATCTGACTGCAAAAAAGCACGACACTTCATATATATGACATCTTTAAGTGTATTTGCATAATTAGCAGGCATTTCCATTTGTATAAACGTGGAATTTTTCTGTATATTTCATTAGTTTTTATGTAAATAAATACATTCATTAATTCAAAATGTTTTTTTCTTTTTGTTCAATAAAGTTATTTTTATTTTGCCCAATTTCATCAAAATCAGAGTTGCTGAGAGTCCATTTATCATTTGTTGTATTTCCTTTTAATTTGCTTTGCCTTTGGCAATGTAAAATAATTTTCTCCAAAAAAATTTGTTTTTTTGAGACTAAAGGACTACAACCGCAAATTTGTCAAGACCAATCAAAATCTTCAATGTCAATGTGCTAACGAAACTTTTACGAACGTGGTACCGTAAGTTCCGTAAGTCCTACGTTCAGCCAACCATCTAGTGATGTCATCAGCAGACGCTGAGCGGACTCTGAGCCAATTTGGAACTTAAGCAGATCCGGTACCTACACTGGTATCCAGCACATTTTAATGGTTTCTCTGCTTCAACATGCTTGATTCAGTGGTTGACACACCTGTGCTTCTGGTCATCAAACTCTGCAGAAGCCTGTCAATCACCTGCTGATTGAAATTAGGTGTGCTGAAATGGGATTAAAACTAAAACCATGCTAGATTTGGACTTGGCACACCTGCCTTTATTAAGACAGTCTTTAAATTGACATTTATATAAAATAATGCCATCAATTTGCTGCAATGCTGTAGTGGCATCAGGGAGCCTTAGGTCGTTAAGTGGTCAGACCGTGGCGGTAATGTGGCACAATCGTCTCCTTTTTATGAAAGATTAGGTGATAGCGGCATAAAGGGGGTATGGTCTCTGCGCTGCCGTGGACTTCCGCTTATCTTGGACATAACTTAATTTTTGTTAAGATTGAATCCACAAATTGTTTTTAGCAAGCTGCTCCTAAAGGTGTCTGTCGTACTTGTGCAGTTTCTGGTGATCTGAGTTCCAGCTCTAACAGAGAGAAGCCCAGGAGCGCTGCAGTGCTCCAATTTGCAGTCTCAGCTGATTTTGTTCAAAAAGCAAAAGATACGGCCCGTGTTTTTCAATACAGTTTCCTGCCATAGCTTGGCGTTAACTCCCCGCGTCATCATGACATCTCGCTGTGTTGCACCAAGGCACATTCGCCATTTATGAACCAGACAATATTACAACCAAGCAAGGTGGATCAAATGCTACAAAATTTGTGGAATGCCATGCCAGTATGGCGCGATTATACGACACACCATTGCGTTAATATTATGCTGATTTGACAACACAGTGTGTCTTGTAAAAAGGGCTAAAGAGACAAAGAATAGGCTGCAGTTTGAGGCAAAACACTCTGGAGAGACCAGTGACTATTCCCTAGCTGATCAGTTAAGCCTAATTTATACTTCTCCTCCAGCTCCACGAGGGAAAGACACGGATGGAGACATTTTGCCTTCATAACTTCGTCTCCTGGGGAGTGTTGCAAAGCAATTCCCCGCCAGGACAGCAGAGGGCGTAGCGCTGTTCTGTGGTATCCTGTCATGTATCCGGTCCAAGATAGTGTGTTTATACTGTGGGTTGGTTTTTTTGTATTTAAGAGACTTTTTAACATGGACAAATTTGTCCCTCATTCTCCTCCACCTCTTCAAACACTCGCCACCTCTAAACACAGGTTTCTCATTGTGTCCACGAATAAAATTCTTGCTTGCTTTTCTCTCCTTCACTCACGGGGGAATAAAACGTTCATATTTTAGAGTTTTTCCACGAGGTATTCTTCAAGCTGCTCCATGTCTGCCGCTAGATATCCTCTGCTCTCTTTGTTTTTGAAGACGCAATGGAGGCGGTGCAGACGACAGCGGTGTCCTGACCAATCACAAGCTTGCGTTCTCTGTCTCGATGGACGAATGTTTAGAAAAGAGAGCTCGACTCCGTCCGTCCTTGCAAGGGCTCTCCGGCAGACTCGCAAGGACGGATGCGTGCGTCCGTCCCAACGCAGAGGTATAATTTAGGCTTAACTGACAATCTTTGACGTTGGGTTTTTGGTTTGGCTCCAGCATAGTCCTGGTGGGTTAATTATGTTTACATCTGGGTAATCTGCGTTTTCTGTTCTCAGCTGCTCCCCGGCAGTCAAGCTTCGTGCAGAGCCGACCCAACACACCCATTACATTACTTCAGCCGGCCAACTTACTAGAGGGAGCCTATGATTGGTAGAAATCAGCCAGTGGAGTCTTCCCGCATTCGCAGTTTATCAGTCTGAATGCGGTGGAGTAAACATCTTTGACTGCAGCTCGGAAACTGCTCCAGCCACAGCAGCGAGAAGACAGACTGCTGTGAGAAGCACACAGCAGTCTCAGTAAGACAGTAGGAAGCTGTGTGCTTCATATCAGTATCCAAAAGCAACAACACTCATAGCCACTTTTACTAATTTAAGGAGAACACCACGAACTTCGCCGTGCATTTTTTTGCCCGTGCCATTGCAGCCAATAGTGGAGCCTTGGGTATTATAGTGGGACACGTTCGATGTCCAAATGATTGTGGTGAAATGACTTGATTTCTGTTTGGGATTATTAAAGCATTTTTGTGACTGGTTATTTATAATTTTTTATAATCATTCGTAAATTAGTAAATAACTTACACAAAGCCCTCAAGTAGGGTTGGGAAAGTTGGTTTTAAATATGAACTAGTTTAAAGTTCAGCTCACACATTTAAAAAAAGGAATGAGTTCGGCTCATTTTCATAATTCCATTTTTTTTAAGTTCACAGTTCCAAAAATGTTTGAATCGCTTTTTTTTTTTAAATAAATAAATAAACAAACAGGTAAGAACCATGCTGAGGTAGGAAAAAAGCATGTGCCTCAAAGTTCAAAACATTTAATTGTCTTTTAATTAAGTCTCTTCAAAAATTCCTGAGCTCACACTCTGAGCAAGTTTTGCAGTCGGTAAACAAAACTGTGAGAAAAACAACCTTTTCTGTGTTTTAAAAATGACCAAAAATGCCATTAAAAACCAGACACAGCAAGAACATACCAAAGAATTCTCTTCAAATTTTGTGAATACATTTTTTGAATTCTTTGCCCAAAGAAAAAAGTTATAGAACTACAATCAGCCCAAATGAATTGAAAACACCTGTGCGACTGACTAGTATTTCCCGATTTAATGTTTCTGTCGTATTGTGTCGTATTCCGTTTTTATTCGATACTTGGAATTTCTAACTTCCGGTAATTTCAACAGAACGGCGTCTGCAGAAGGATGTCTATGCACAATGATAAAGGTCAGTATTGTCAAAACATCCTTGAGTGGAGCCAGTCGTTTCATCCACACTACGAGGCTTTTCAGAGGACTCCAAAGCGCTTTACGCTAGTCAATCATCCATTCACACACTGGTCATGATAAACTACATTGTGACCACATTTACCCTGGGACACAGTGACAGAGGTGAGGCTGTCAAGCACAGGCACCACCGGTCCCTCTAAGCACCACCAGTAGGCAAGGAAAATTAAGTATCTTGCCCAAGGACACAACTGACACAAGAGTGCGAGAGCCTGGGTCCAATCTTGCAACCCACCAGTTACAGGGAAATCTTAACCCGAGCCACCTCAGTAGCTGAGTCCAGTTCCACCAGCCACACCCAGACATGAAGGTGTAATACGTGTAGGTGTAATAAATCATTTCAACAGAACCTGTCTACCATGAAATACACAAAAAAAATCTAACGGCAACACATCAGGCATGGTGTTAAAAAAGTTTAGATCTAAATTCATTCAGGACTAATATGGAGGTCAAAGGTCATGACTACAATGAAAAACCGTTCCAAGTCCCAAACCTTTTTGGACAACAACAAAATAAAACCTGTCTTATGTTAACTGAAGGCATCTTGAGCTGAAAGACATCTGGGTAAATATTCTTAGGACTGATGAGATCAAAGCAGAGGTTTCTAGAAGGTGGGCGTCCCATTCCATCTAGAGTAAAAGCATTGCACCTACAGTGCTTTGCCACTCACATTAGCACAGTTGACTGTTAGGTTAGCGCCTTAGCACCTATAATTGCTAATTATGAAGCTTTTTGCTACAATTTTGGCCTCATCTGTGTTGAATAAATAATTGTATGGAATATTCTCTAGGGGTGTTTTCACAATGAACCTGACACAAACCTCAAAATGATGGTGTCACTGATAGAAAATTGAGCTTTTAATTGAATAGATTGTATGGCTAATTTGAGCAGTAGTTTGATGTGTGTGTTATCACTGACCACAGTTCAGTAGTTTCAGTAAAAAAACACAAACAACAGTAATACTTATTTAATTTTATTATACAGTGTCGCACATGAGCCTTCTGTACAAGATCAGTAGAAATGAAAAAGTATATTTCATGAACAATACTTGGGAGCACCAATTGTAAAGTCTTACATTGAAAAATAATCTGAATTTAGTCACATTTATTTAAAAAATTACAGTGCTATGGATAAATTTTTCAATGCAAATAATAGTCAATGAGAAATAAAAAAATTCATGTAAATGTTGAAATTTAAATATTGCTGTTTACACTTATATATAACTAATGTCCAGATTTAGTGAAAAATAAGTTTGGTGAGGAGATATCCAGGATAAACCCGGACTGGAAATCTGAGCGATCTCACATCAGAGGGATCAGAGGTCTGACCGCTGTAATTTTAGTAGCCTGAATTCATTTTGTGGCAGGCTGTGTTTGCATGTTAGCTAAATATTTAGTTTCAAACTTCCCATTTGTTTTTTTAAATTTCAACATTTAGAAATTTTTTTATATTTAGTTCTGATGTTTGATATTTATATTTAAGGTTCTAGAGTTACTTCCAAATACCTAAATTTAACTAATTATCTAGTTTTCATTCCAAAATCTTAATGTTATTAAAGTTAAATGTGGTAGGGTAGATGTTAACTTTTGAATGTATTTTACAATCAGCACCCCAAACAATACAGCATCTTAACAAAATATAAAAATCTATAACAGTGAATATCCAGTTTAAAATTAAGACATTTTCAAGTTTATTAAATAAAATTAAAAAACTGGTGGCCACAGTTCAAAGCTATTTGACTACTACTTCAGACAAGGGTATAATTGGTAGATTAGTCATCATTTCATACCAAATGTAAAAGCAGATGTGGTCCACCTGAGGTCACAGTTTGTTCCGGCGACCAGGAGCCTTTCAGTGATAGTGTTCAAGTTCGGTGCCACTGAGTTTACAGGTAACAAGTAACCAGTGTGTTTAATAAATTATTGAAAGGTTTGATCAATTCATTATTCTGGTAACAATTGTGCAAAGTGCAAACCCAGTTTTCAGCTTCCTATAACAAATCAGCTAATTATTATTTCAATTCAGATTCCTGCAGCTGTATCGCTACAAACGCCTCATCCTGGTGATGTTCTAAACCAGTTAACGTCAGGAACCAGATTTGTAATCCTTTACAAGGTAACTGAAACTTAATCAAAGTAATCAGTAAAAGTTTAAAGTTTTATTAATTAAAAAACACAGATTACCCGTTCTAACCCTGCAGGCGCAGCTTCTGACCAGAGCTTGAGGCGTAGGCAACAAACTCCGGTGGTTTTTGCTGGTTGGTGTTTGTGTTGTGAGGCTTCTCCCATTTCCTCCTCACAGCTGATGGACGATGTAGTGGGACAGGCTCATTCTGATGAGGAGTTGAGTAAAAGAAAGTCACCTGAAGCCTGATGTTAGCTTGTAGCCCCAGGGTGAGTCTCAGTAGGTTTGTGTCTGATGTGAGATATTTCGAGACATCCCAGACCAGAGCCACATCACAGTTCTGCTCAGTTTCACAGTCCTTCAAAATAAAGTCACAGTTCTGAAAAAGAAGAGCTGTCAGCTCGACTCACCACGTTTAGGTCTGGTGATCAGATGAACATAAACAGTTTTACAGAAAACATTAGTATCTGCTGAACTACACAGCTGACTAATCAATCAGTTAAATGGTGAATCGTTCCAATAGAAGATTTCCTGTTAAGACAGGTGGCTAGAAGCTCTCTGGATGGTTCTGGACTCCTCACACGACTGATGTCGCTCATCGAGTGCAGCTCACAGAAGAACTGACAAGAACCGGTTCTGTTTGTGCCTCATCAGATTTATCAGTAATGAAGTGAGCGTGGAAACGTGCCCATTTCTACAGTCATCGGCCCACTATGCAACCGAATGCTGGGTAACTTTTAATAACGTAAAGGTAGTTCTTGTTCTCACCCAAAACATGGTGAACGATACACCCATGTATTTCAGTGACATGAGTGGATAGTAAAACAGTCACACCTGCTGGACATATTAGCATCCATTAGCATATTTAAATTGAGGAGTTTGGTGATCCTTCATGTGGCCCAGTCATATTTTGATCAGGATGAACAGGAAATGTGCTTGGATCCATGAGGACACACTTTGATGCATCTGGATTTGTTTGTGCAAACATGGGTATCTTATTTTGAGCGTATGCCATCTTTTAGTAGAAAATCCGTTCAGGCGTTTGTATAAAAGCAAGGAGCAGAGCAGCACTGTGACTGGTCAGTCGGTCAAAAGTTAATAATGTCATCCTCGTCTTCCCTGACTTCCTCCTGTGTTGTGTTCTCTGCCTCCCCCCTTCCTCTCCATGTCTCCTCCTCCTCAGTGGTTCCACAAGGACCAACAATGTACCTGTAGTCCCCACCGATCGCCAATGCAGCCCTGGAACCCGTCATCAGCCAGTCCTTCTCCTCATCCTCTGCCTGTCGTTGCCAGGGAACGCTCCAGCTGGAGGCTTCAGCTGTGGTTTCAGCTTCGAATGACCAGGCTGGAGCTTTAGGCCCAGCAGCTTCTCCTCCTCTGTCCAGCTCTCCTTCATCTCCTTCCAGGTTGACGTAGAGTAGAGGTTCCTTTGGAGGACAGGTGTGCGACAGGCCAAGATGCAGCGCTTCTAGTTGGACAACCAGCTGCTGGAAACTGGGTCGACACTTTGGGACTGGACTCCAGCAACCATGCATGAGTTCATAGCTGAGAAACAAATGAAATAGGATTTAGATTTCCATGCATCACTGGCACGTTCAGCATGAGTCAGTTAGGATGAACATAGGTCAGTGGCATACAATCTGGGCCAACACATGTAAGCACAGCTCAAGACACGGTCTAAACACGGAAATGTAATAGATTGTTTGATAGATGATAGTGATGTGACAATATTAGAGTTATGACTACAGTCAGTCTAAAGTCTAGGTCTGGGATCATCTATTGTGTTGCTTAATGCTTCTTCTACGTGAAATATATAAAAATTACAAACAGTACAAGTCAAAAGGGTAAATATGAGTCGACACCAGTCAGAACAAGTCCATATGGGGGTAAAATGACCTTTGGTCCTTCCCAGACTGATAGGCAGTTATCAAATAAGTTCATTGATAAGGTATGTTAACACACACCTTTATGCTCCAGAGCAACAAACAGGATGAACTCCTGCCTTTTATAGAGCAGCTGATGATTTAATAAATCTGATCAGCAACGCCAGGCTGAGGAGGTAATTTACTTGATGTTAAAAATAATGAAGATTCATGAGTTCTAGATGTGTAGAAACTAGGGATGTGTATTAGTGAAATTCTGGCGATGCGATACATATCACGATACGGGGAAACAATACGATATATTGCGGTTCATTCAGTCAGACAATATTAGCACGTTTTTTAGACTGAATTTATTGTAGGAAAATTCAATAAATAGTCCAAACTGATATGTAACATGTTTAACATGAGGTACCTGAACCAGAATAGAGGGATTTACATTTAAATGGTGGAAACAAATCCCATTGTACACTGCTGCCAACTAGCAGTCGGCATTTGAATTGCACCAAAAGAAAAGAAAATACACAAATGTTTGCGTGTGAATTCTTCCAAAAAAATTGATACACGACTTTTGAATATCAATATATTGCAAGAAAAAACATCTTGATATAATGCCATATCGATATTTTCTTACATCCCTAGTAGAAACCTTTGATGTGACTGCAAGCTCAGAGACGAGAGTCATCTCAGATTTTTCTCTGGATGAACATTTGTAAAAGACTCACATGTCATCTCTACAATCTGCAGGTTTCTTCAGGCGCTCTCCCTTAATCAGAAACTCGTAGATCTCAGAGTTCTCCACACCAGGATAGGGAGTCTGACCACGAGTCATGATCTCCCACATTGTGACACCAAACGCCCACTAAGACACACAAACACAGGAAATCCACACGGAAACATTCTGTAACCCATTTTTATCTCTAAGTCGAATGCACCGTGTGTGTGTGTGTGTGTGTGTACCACATCGCTCTGAGCAGTGTAGATGTTGTCGGCCAAACTCTCCAGAGCAATCCACTTGACTGGCAGTTTAGAGACAGAGCCTTGACGGTAATAATCTCCACTGTAGATCTTCTTAGAGAGACCGAAGTCCGCCACACACACTGACATGTTTTCATTTAACCTGAAACAGACATATGCACCCAGGTGCAGGTGCGCGCACACACACACACACACACACACACACACACACGCACAGTGAGCTAACTGCATGGGAGCTATTAGTGTCAGTGCTAATGCTATCAGAGCTAATGGGGAAACCAACATGCAGTTTCTGGCAGCCAAGTCTCGGTGGATGATGTTTTTGCTGCTCAGATACTCCATTCCACGAGCAATGTCAAACATGAACTGGACCAGGGTCTTTAGAGAGAGGTCCTGGAAGGGAGACGGCATTTCTCATTAGATTATTGGTCCTCAGCTCTGAGGCTGAAGCTCTATCTGGATCTTACAAAGGGCTGCTCTCCCAGACGAGACAGCAGCAGGAAGGTATGCAAATCTCCATGTTTCATAAACGGCAGAACGACCATCGGGATGGGCAGCCTTTGGCCAGGACGCTTGTGAAGACTCACTCCTATTGGAAAGGAAGATGAGTGAAGAAGGACTCTCTTCTCATGTTTAGTTTTTGTGTTTATGTGTATTTGTTACCAATTAGCTTTATGACATTGGGATGGTTGAAGTCCTTCATGTACGCTGCCTCCTTCAAACACTGTTCAATATCACCTGACGATGTGATGTCAGCTGGGCAAGAACATTTAGCATGTTAAAATACTGCCTTAAGATAAAGTATCCTAACAACTTAAAAGTGGGGTGAAAAGATCCCCTATCTAAGGTCTCAGAGTGTTTTTCATGGTAAGAAAATGAAAGTCTGATTATGTATCAGTGTTCCTTTCTGGGTTTCCTCTGCAGTTGATAAATGATCCATGTTTAAAGAGGTTCACATAATCATACCATCAAAGGGACTCTCTTTCACTAAAAAAACAATCAAGGCAGGTCCCAGAATCAGTGCTGAAATGGCTCTTAAATGGTTCTTTCACAGAACCCATTGCTTTGCCGCTGACGTGAGGCTTTGTTGGGTCTTCACGTCATCCAAAGGATTGCAATACAACTGTAAAAGCCCACATGTGGACAAGAGGGTTCATCATACTCGCTTTTGTGCATTAGAAAGGATGTGTACATGTTCTTATGCATTACGTTTTTGGTACATCATCAGCAGATTCAGAGATCAGCAACTACCGTATTTTCCGGACTATAAGTCGCTACTTTTTCCCACGCTTTGAGCCACGCGGCTTATAATGAGGTGCGGCTTTAGTCAACCAGAAAGGATGGATGCTGGAAAGTCTAATGAAGGAATGGTTAAAGGAGCGCTACGGAAAGTGCCAAAGGAGGATTTTTTTCACAGTAAAACGGCGCTGCTTGTTTTCCCAGCTTCACCCCGGGATGATGACAGCAACACGGAGAGCGACACTGACATCGCCACAGAAAAGGTATGTGACGAAGCTCTTCTGAGGCTGTTCAACTCCAACACTGAAGAAGAGGACTTCAGTGGTTTCAGTGCGCAGGAGGACGATGAATAATCTAATCAATAACTTTTCTGTTTTGTTTGATACTGATCAGTTCAGTTACGTTCAGTTAAACTACGCTTTCAATTCAGTAGATATCTGCGGCTTTTAGCCCGGCGCGGCTTATATTGAGGTGCGCTCTATAGTCCGGAAATTATGGTACATTTGCAGAGAAAGGTAAATATGAAACTTTGTTGAATAATGATTTAGCTTTGTAATCCTGACCCTTTACCTTAGTTGAGTTGTCATGCAGGTGGGGGAGAAGACAATTCTTCGCAAGCTCCGGCTAGGTGCTAAGGTTAAGCACTGGTTTGGAATCAAGAAATGAGTGTGCTTTCGAGGCGGAAAGCCAGAGAACCTGTGCTTGGTCAGGCTCTGGCCCTAAGGCAGAACTGAAACCTGCTTGGTAGAAAAGATGCATCAGACACCTTGAGCCAAAGATTTCTTAGCCCCTGATTAATTTTGTATCACATTTGTCTGTTTGCAAAATATGTAGTTAAAACTACCACATTTATATACAGATGTCATCAATCAGATCAAACGCTATGTATTTAGATTTGACTCAAGGAGTTTATTTTCAACATCATTATTTTAGGCCAGATGTGGTTAAAGGTGCATTATGTAAGAATGAAGTAAGAATGACACTCTGTGGTCAAACTTGGGTACTGCAGCCCATTTTCTAAACACACAAGTGACTCTCTCACTGCCATTTTTTGAGTTTCATGATTGTTGCCAGCTATAGATCAGCACCAGAAGTTATATGTCGTATAGCTCCGCCCTTTAAGCTAATGCCTATTGGATTAATTTCAATTACCTTATCCAATCGTGAAGAGCTTTCTGCTCCATCATACATCAGTGACCTGATTGTTTCATATGTTCCTTTTTTTTGTGTGTGTGTGTGTGTCCTGTCTGGCTGTGAAGCAAACAGAATTAATATCTGAATGCTTGTAACAAGCCTTACAGATTTACTCTCAGGTGGAGCATCAAAGCGTCTGCTTTTAATGTCATGCCTGATACTTAAAACTTTATTGTTATTGTTTTTCAATGCTTTGTAATTACGACCAGACATGGAGACAGAGGTGAAAGAGAAAGGAAGAGACAAAAGGTGGGGGGAAGAGGGGGCGGGGGGGCACAAAAATAAACTAATGAACAAGAGTCTGCTTCTAGACCTGCAGAAAGAGAGAAGAAAAAAATACAAAAAAATGGGACACAATAACAATACAACAAGATCCAATTATCACTGCGTCAACTTGATGAAGAAATATATAATCAGCATTGTTCAACTGAACAATCACACGATAATAAATCACAGTGCATTAAGTGCCCACTATAGCCTTAAGACGTGTTGAACGTAGGGGCTGCAACAAATGATTATTTGGATAATCGATGAATCGGATGGGGTCTCGACACGATTAATCGGATTACATGGGGAAATGTTTAAAAAATGCTAGGGAAACGATTTTTCTCTCCTTCCTTCACTTTATTAAAGACAACGTTATTAGAAAATAGTTCAATAGCAGAAAAACAACATGCTATCACCTAAAATGTCTTACAGCTGATATTTGTGATGACTGCTGCTTGTTGAGGTGTGCATGATTTGCTTGACAATAATAAGCTGCTCAGTGTTTGTTGTTTTGCCCTGGAGATCATAAAGAATAAAGTCAGCCTATTATGACACAACATGAACTTTTAGCATAGCAAGTAAGAAAGTGCTGACTCCACCCAGCCCCTTCCATGCGTACCATGCGGTTCGCCAGACAACACCTCTTTCTGCCTCATTTTCCAAAAACTGAAAATCCAGAAATGAAGCCTTCAGAATACTTAAGAAGGGGGTGGGCAAGGGAGGATAAGGTGTATAGACAGAGACCCTAAGCTACACCTATCTGTGACCTAAAATGCTTGGTCCAAGTTATTCAATTCAATTCAAAAATACTTTATTAATCCCAGAGGGAAATTGACTGATTAAAATAAACAGCTTCAGGCAATTCTCATCTGTCTTGTTTGATCTCATCTGTAGACATTTATTATAATTGGGGGTGTCAAACGACTAATTTTTAAATGTAATTAAACATAGGCTGTGAATTAATGAAGATTAATCACTATTTCCAAAAATGACTGAAAAAATACCAAATAAAACAAAAAAATAAATAAATGGATGCCGCCCTCCTTGTGATGATGCCTTGGGAAATCGCCATAAAGTCACATCAAGAAATGCTGCTGATCATTCCAATGATCCCAAATTCCATTTCCAAAACATCACCAAACAACTTAACATTTTAAAAGGACTCACATTAGGCCACATGAAAGCAACTGAACCCAAAAATACATTAACCAGTATATAACTGCACTCTCACACAACACGCCTGCAGCAACAGTTAGGACACCCCCCTCCCTCACCCCCCTCCCTTTTAAAAGTGTTTTAGCTTCCGAAGACATTGTGGTTGTAAAGCCACATGTTAGTAGTCTGGCCCTGGTGTGATCAACCAGTTTCTGCAGGAATGTGATGGCGGAACCGGTTTGCAGCAGCACAAGTCTACGGGAAGACACCCCCCACCCCCACCCCCGTTTATCTAATAAGCGTCGCACTTACGATTTTGTAGACTTTTTTTTATTAGCTTAGCGCATGTCTAGCCTGTGTAATAATCTGGGGCTTGTGTGAATCACTTTTGAAAAGTTTTTAACTTACCCGGACACCGAGCTCTCTCCCTCCTCGCTGATGATTCTGACATGCTTGCGTTTAAGATGCTGCATCATCACCGTAGTACTCCCGTGCCATGCTAAGTCTGACCTACAAACGTTGCAGGTAACGAATGTCTTCGCCTGATTTAACTGAAAATGCTCCCAAACTTCAGATGTTTTTACTTTTTTGGGTCTCGCTGCTCAGGCGCGTTGCAAGCTTTTCAAAAGTGTGGGGGATGTTTTCTGTGCCTAAAATAATTTCATGTTATTCATCTTGTTAGTTTAATTTCCATAATAGCGGAGCAGGTGCGAATTTTAGACACGTCACGCATGTCTCCGTTTTAAACATGTTTAAACTGTTCAGAATACAAATCCAGGCTCTGTCTCGTTAGATTGGTGCAACTAAAGTTTGTACTGAATGAAACTTTACATTAAACCATGTTGAAAAGAAATGGATCCGATGAAATCGTTTCCCCCTCATTTACAGTCAGTACAGTGCAGTGTGCATGGCTCTGGGGTTAATCAAGTTTAGTTGTTTCTCTTTGCAACAATCTTCACAAGAAGGCAAAACAGTTAAATGGCAGGTTACAGATATTTCCATTTGACTGTTTCTTTTGACGGATAAACTCAAGGATGTTGGTTGTTTTGAAAGAATTACCCCGACGCACACTGATGCACACACAGATGAGCTGACATTTTAATAGTTACGCACATCGCGGAGGTAACTAAATCAATCAAGAAATGATTCCCATCAGAACATCAGAGCTTTATACTGGACACTGTGTTCAGCGTGGATCGGAGCGCACACGGTGGACAGTGGGCTGAAGATCTGTAGAGGGGTTTGCAGCGCAGAACCACAGCGCACGCGATAAGATTTCCTCCCACTGAAGCAGTCTGGAAAGCCGGTCTCTCTGAGGGATGTGTCACTCGGAAAAATTTTCTCTGGTTATGAAACTTTGGGTGAACAGTGCTTGTTCCCGTCTCTAATATGGAGACGCATGATGCATCCAGTCGCCTCTTCAGCTCAGAAAGCACCTGTAGAGACATTTGATCACGCACAAAGTTTATTTGGAGCAGAAGCGGTCGGGCCACGGCAGGTGGAATGTTCCTAGCCTACATGAAGTGAAACTGTTTAATTGTAACATTAATATGTTACTGGACACGCTGGTCTGGTTGGTTAGACCAGTGTTTAAAGTGGAAAACACACACACACACACACCAATTAAAATAATGCTGATAGCATGGACTAGAAGACAGGTGATGGTTTACGTATTTAAATGATGATCAGGCTGCTGTAAAATGTAATCTCCATCCACATCCAGACACAATTATCCTCTATTCTTTCTCTGTTTGCTCTGCTCTTGTCTGGGCTGACGTAGCTGACGGTGCGAGCGGCGCGCCTAACTAGCGGCTGATGCACATTTTACGCATTTGGAGAGGTGGGCTGGATGCTTTTCTTTTACTGGAAGATGGTCCACTTAACGCACGGGTGTAGACTAC